CCAGAGAGAGGGGTGCATTCTTTGGTGTACAAGGACCCAAATTTTATCCCTCAGCCACCACCAATGCTGGGCTTGAACAGTGTGAGTTACTGGGTTGTAGCATTGTAACATCAAGCCTTATTGAGTATTGTGGGAGTGACACTAAGATCTCATAAGCACTGCTTGAGAGCAAACCCCACTCTCCCAAAATAAACAGAATTGATATTTGATACAAGGTAGGCAGACAACAAAAAGTTATTTAAATGGTTAAAGAATGAAGTTCTTTGTGAATGAAATACCTTTGTGTAATATACAAAACAGGAGTCTATAGAGTTTATCTACTTTCTCAATCAGGATAATAGTTCCTACACAAATAATTCTATCCTCTATTGAAGGCAATTTTGGCCAGACCTATCCAAAAGAACAGTATCGTAATATTTTTACTTTTTCCTCTAGATTTTATGTTTTTATATCTCTAACATCAACGTGTCCTCCCATGTTCCTTAGTTTAATACTCTTCACACTTAGGAGTACTACTATCCCATGTACCGTATGGTTAAGATTGCTGTGTTCTTACTATTTGAGAGATTATGCTAGGTTTGTCTTTGTCTTGTTTTTGGTTTGAGGACCATATGAGGAGGTGCTTGAAGATTATTACTTCTGGTGGCATTCTGGGAACGATAAGCAAGATTGAGGATAGAAACAAGGTTGGCTACAAAAACTGATACCTTTGATTAAATATAGAATTATTAATGAGTCAAATTTAGTCATTGATTTGCTGTTACTACTATTTGCTCATTACTTTCATCTTCTGTATGAGACTTGGTTCAACACACATATTAAGAACAAAGGAAGGCCTTTTTGTTTGAAATGAAACATGTATGAAACTTAGAATCATTGAAAAATCTGACTTTTCTTGAAACCACAGGCGATACTTTCATACCAAAAGATGTATAGTAAGGTGAAGCTCAGAGTCAGTAATAAGCTCGTGCTTACTTAAGAGCAGAAACAGCTGGAACCATAAATTAGAATTTATTGTGTACCAATTTTGAGGATTTTCTTGAAACTGAGGAAAAACAGTTTGAATGTCAATCTCAGGGTTCACAGTCTTTTGGGATGTCCATATTTTCATATCTCTAAGAATATTTCAGAATTTTCATAGTTGAGATACAAAATGAATTTACTCTTGTCTGTGAGAGACATAGAAGGAGACTAACCATAGTAATATACTTCAGCACATTCTACACCAAAATAAAATCTAATCTATAGGGTGAAATACCAGGAGCCTTATCCCAGCTGGGGGAATTGCATACTTCCCACTCCAGTTCCACTTACATTTCCTGTATTACTCCTGGGAAGAATAAAAGCTATTCCTCTGAAACATGGAAAATGCATCAGACCAATACTATTACAAGAAATTTCCTTTCTCTGATAAGTTGAGACTACATGGAAAGATCTATAATATAGTTAAGTAGATTATAGCTGGAAAAGATGCATGATACAGACCTTATATGAGAGTTACGAATAAAGAGAATAAAAACAAAAAGCAAGAACATTCACAGTAATTTTAGTCATTTAGTATCTATAGCTAATTGTAAATATGGAAGACATATACTTTTATAAACAAATCTTAGGTACCTCAGCTTCTTTTTGGAGGGTTTGGGCCACACCCAGCAATGTGCAGGGGTTACTCAAGGTGGTCTTGGGGGACCATATGGGATGCTAGGGATTGAAACCAGGTTGACCGTGTGCAAGGTAAGTGCCCATTTTCTGATATAGTTTGGATATAGACTGAAAAAATATCATATCTTCATCACACGGTCAACCTGGAAGAATAAAAACTGATTTCCATAAGAGAAAAGTATCAAAGTATAAACAAATATATTTGTGCAGTTGAGAGGGAGGGCAGAGAGATGGGTACACTGGTGATGGGTGTGGTATTATAATTATGTCCATGAGAAACCATTATTGGAAACACTGTAAGTCAAAAATAATATTATTATAAAAACAAAATATTTTTTCTAATTCTTTTGAATCGGGGGGTGATCCCAGCATCTCATACAGTCCTGAATTACTCTCAGGACTAATCTCTGAGCCAGGCATGACCTTTCCCCCCATTAAAACAGTGTTTTAATGCCTGGTTCAGAGATTAGTTCTGAGAGTAACTGCAGGACTGTATGAGATGCTGGGATCAAAATGGGATGATACCTAGGTACTTGATTTTCTGGGGCACAACTGTGAACTGGATTGTTTTCTTCATGTCACTTTCTTCTCTTTCACTATTTGCATATCGGAAAGCCATGGACTTTTGGATATTGATTTTATAGCCTGCAAGTTTACTATAGAAGATGTGTATTTGATCATTGTATAATTGAAACCCAAGCACAAAATTTGTAAGTCTACAACTGTACCTCATGATGTCTCACTAATAAAAATTTTAAAAAATATGGGATGACACATACAAGACGAGCCCCTTACCCTTATACTATCTTTCTTGCCCCCTTATACTTAACTGATCTTAAAGGATAACTATTTAAAGTAAAAAATGTAAACATATACTAGGTGATTATAGCATATGTGCAAGTGAAATGAATGATTAAAGCATTTTAAGAAACTGGAGGGAAGAACTGAAATGTTCTGCCCAAACGCACTACACAGGTAGAATTACAGTGTTCCTTGAAAGTGAATTTAGATAGTCAAAAATCGTTATTGAAAGTTCTAGAGCAACTACAAAAGAATCTTGAAAACATTCATAATGGATACACTAAAAGATAAAATAGGATCAAAAGAGGCTCAATTAAGGGCTGGAGAGATAGCACAAGGGAAAGGAACTTCTCTTGTATGTGGCTGACCCAGGTTCAGACCCTGGTAATGCATAAGCTTCTCTAGGGGTCACTCTTCAGCACAGAGCCAGGAATAGCACCTGTGTACTGCTGGGTGTCATCCAAACACCCACTCTTCGAAAGAGAGCTCAATTTAAACAAACAAGGAAGGAAAAGGAGATGGGTAGGGGAAAAGAAAATGCAATAAACTGACAATATGGTGGTGGTGGAGGTGCAATAACTTTCTATAGTATAGGCATAAACTTTAACACCATTATAAACCATGTTACCTCAATGCTAAAATGAAGGAAAAACCAAACATTACTTATAAACATGGCAGTTCTCAGTCCAACTATATCAGAAATCACTAAAATATGAATTATATAAGTATAGCATTAAAGTACATATACTGAAAGGAAACTTTTGTATCAATATTTAATGTATCCCCGTAGAGGAAAAAGAACATCTTAAGTCCACAGGAAAATAAATAGTAAAATCAGAGGGAAAAAAATTGAAAACAGTAAAATAGGTGAAATAAATAAAAAGTTTGTAATGTGAGAAAAGACAATGAAACTTGTAAACATCCAGCAGTTTAATGAACAGAAGTATAATCTAACTACTTTAGAAATGAAACAGATTATTACTATGATGATTAACAGATGATAAAATAATAAAAACATCTCTATCTTCTTAATTTGATAAATGAGCTAACATTACCTATAAAGACACAAATTGCCAAAACTTATACAAGGAAGAGCAAATTAATTGAAAAGGCTATATCTATACAAATTGATAAAACGTTAATGACCAGCTTCCCAAAAAAAATCACACCTATATAGTTTAACTGCTGAAGTCTGCAAAAGTTTTAAGGAAAAACCGGTATCAAGTCTTTGCAATCTCATTTACAAAATAAAATCGAGGGAATTATTCTTAATTGATTTGATAAGGACCTTAATACTCCATTATAAAATTCAGATTAAGATGTCAGAAAGAAAACTGCGTAACAGTTATTCTCATGAACATAGATGTAAAAATATTTCAACAGAGTATTTAAAGAATTGAAAAGTTTACATAAAGAATTATAATTCACAAATAAGTGAAATTTATTTTCAATATAAAATTCTCTGTGCATGTGAGAATCCAGATATTTAAAAAAAACTATAAGAGCAGGCTACTTTAGAAACAAGAAGATAAGATAAAGATCTTGCTAAATGAAAAGCACAAGGGGTATCAAGAACTCAACCAGCATTCCTACAAACTCAGATGCTAGATGCTATTGGAACCTGGAAAATAGCCCTGATGCCAAGCAAGCCCTGCCCCAAGCCCTCTCCCCAAGTACTATCCCCAGCCCAGCCCTGCCCCAACCACAGCGGTGGCTTCATGACAAGCACCACCCCAAGAATGCTCAACAAACCAAGTCCCATTTGCAGCCTTCGAACCAAGCCAAGCTCTGCCCAGAGCCCACCCCAAAACCAAGGCCCTTACACACAGCCTTGGCACCAAGGCAAACTAAGCCCCATCCCATGCTGAAAACCAAGCCCCGCCCCCAGCTCGCACAACGAACCAAGCCCCGCCCCCAGCGCATGCAGCAAATCAAGTCCTACCCCCCACGCAACTAACCAAGCCACGCCCCCAGCAGTGCAACACTCCAAGCCACGCCCCCAGCACGTGCAACACTCCAAGCCACGCCCCCAGCTGATGCAACTAAGCTCCACCCCTAGCGCGCGCAACAAACCAAGCCACGCCCCCAGCTTATGGAACTAACCAAACCACGCCCCAGGCCCTTGTAATAAGCCAAGCCACGCACCTTGCCCATGCTAATTAACCAAGCTCCGCCCCCAGTCCAAGCAACCAACCAAACCACTCCACTGGCCCACGCAACTATCCAAGCCCCGCCTCCAACCCATGCAACAAACCAATCCACGCCCTTAGCCCACCACGTAACAAACAGAGCCCCACCAATAGGCTTTCCGTACTCAGCACAGCCAATGTTCCCGGCGTGCGGGCCGGGGCAAGACTACTTGCCCCGTGCCCATCCTCGCCTAGATCCTGCCCCCACCCCATACGTTATCCTTCCTGCAGCCTTTCCTTTCCCCCGTTCCGTTTCCTGTTCCTCCTCCTGGTGCCATCCCAGAGGCAACCGTCTGCACCGGCCAGTGGACCCAGCGACCAGTTGCCTTCTCTACCTCAGCAAGCACCATGTCAGGTCAGCGGCGGCTCTCTATTATACGGTGCAGCTTTCACGACGATTGCATTGACATTGTGAACCGGCAGATTAAATTCGAGTATGTCGTGTCCTGCATATATAGGTCGATGTCCATATACTTCAGGCGAAGAGAATTGAGAATGAATCATTTGGCAGATTTCTTCAATGATCTGTCAGTAAAAGAGAAAGAACAAGCTGATTGGTTCTTTCACTTGCAGTTAAATCGACGGGCAGAAGTCAACCCCCCAAAGAAATTGAGGCCCCGAAAGTATAAATGGGGAGATGGTCTAAATGCTATGAAGTGCGCTCTTGTACTGGAAAAACACGTTTATTGGCGCCTTTCACGCATTTTTAAGCTGGCCACCGAGCGAAATGATCACCAACTCTGCAGGTATCTCCAAAATTACTACTTGTTTCCGCAAATGCAGTCTGTCAAAGAGGTGGCGAACTACGTAGCCTGTCTGCGCCAACTGCCAACAATGGAACCCGTTGTGGTAAACAACTACTTTTTAGAGCTCTTGATTGAGAGCAAGAAGGAATGAGCCTGGACTGCCTTGCCCCATAGCCACCAGAGGCGAGGTAATTTTCTTTGGACACTTCAGAGTTCACATGGCTCTTTTTTCAACAGTTCCTTCATAGGAAGTTTGGTTCCTAAATAAAGATTTCAAAGGAGTTACTTGGTCAGTTTGATTTGTGTATACCTTTTAAGTTTTAAACAGGTATTAGCAGTATCTCCAGCCACCTATGCCCCATTTTCAAGCTGTTGGGGATTGAGGGAATGGAAGGGAAGGTCTCCCACGGGACCTTGGAAAACACAAAGTTAATTTTCCCTTATGAAGAATGGTGGGGTGGGGTGGGGTGGGTGGGTGGTCTAGGGCCGGGAATGTCTCTTGGTACATACCATATGGTGAAAGGACATAAAGAATCTGAGAACTGGTCTACAGAACAGAGTTTACCATGGGTTTGGATGTGGAATGTGTTGATTGGGAGTCAGTATGGTGGAGGGTATGAGGTTGGAAAGTTGTCCCTGTGGAACCCTACTATTAACAATATTCTAAATCACTCCCTAAATTAAAAAAATTAAAATGGAAGAACATATAAATTAAATCATGTAAAGTTAGTGATATTATCTCCTAAAAAGAAGTGAAACACAATTTTAATGGTAAATGTAAAAGGTAAAGGCCCTCCTGTTGATCATTTACTCGAGCGGGCCCAGTAACGTCTCCACTGGAGACTTTGTTGTTACTGTGTCTGGCATATTGAATACATCACGGGGAGCTTGCCAGGCTCTGCCATGCGGGGCAATTTTAATGATTAAAATAAAATAATATAATAGGAGTAATATAAAAATGTCAAAATAAGATTTTAAAACGATTTTAAAAGGAATTTAGCTCTCTAGTCTATTCAGAGCTTATGTGGAGTGAGGTATGCTGCTCTGGGAACCTTAAAGGAAGGAGACAATAAAAAATAGAGTTCAACTTTACCTGAAACTGTACTAAAATGAACAGATGTTACCATGTGATTACTATGGGTAGTAACATGAGTGTCCTAGAAATGGTAGAACATTTCTCTTTGACAAGTTCACCCTAGGTGGGTGGTGATACTAATTGGGCTGTAGACTGGCTTTTTACACAGATAAGGGAGTGGTTTCCTTATCTGTGTAAAAAGTCATCGTGCTGGACAGGCATGCTATCCTTACAAAACATCAAATACTTTTTCTCTTCAACTGAATAAAAAATGTAGAAAATATAAGGTAAAGGTTATGATCAAATTTTCACAACTTTGTTCCTAAATAAAGATTTCAAAGGAGTTACTTAGTCAGTTTGATTTGTGTATGCCTTTTAAGTTTTAAACAGGTATTAGCAGTATCTCCAGCCACCTATGCCCCATTTTCAAGCTGTTGGGTATTGAGGGGATGGAAGGGAAGGTGAATATAAAGCCCCCGGTGCCATGTAATCTCATCAATGGCCAAGATCCAGAGACTATAAAACAAAGCTCCTGGAAGAGAACCACGCAGAATCTCCTGCCCCTGCGCCAGGCTGTCTTCACCGGGGCCCCTTGGAGGGGGGTGGGTTGAGTTTCCCTCCCTGACCTAAGCAGAACCCCGGTAACTGAAAACCCCCAGAACCCAGCCACAGCCGTGCTCAAGGCCACTTGCCATATGCTCGGATGAGCCTCACGCATGAAGGAACCAGAAGAGGAACCCAGGAGTGCTGGAGCCAGGGTTGAGATCTCCACGCCTGCCCAGATAGGGACTGGGCCTCCTCCACCCAGATCCCCCTTTTTCCAGTAGCTTGGCAGTCACACCCACAAACTGCCCCCAGCGCCATAGAATCTCACCAATGGCCAAGATCCAGAGGCTATAAAACCAAGCTCCTAGAAGAGAGCAATGCAGAATTTCCTGGAGACCACTTATAGTCTAGCCCACTGATGTGCCTAATGCAGCACACGTGTTTGGTTTTAGCATATTTGCTTGAATTTGCTTATATATGGGCTTAAATGGCCCTAGAATGAAATACAACAACCTTCACGCACTTCCTTCTTATTGTGGTGGAAAGATGCTCGCTGGTTAGGTGGGTGTTTGAATATTACCTGTAAAAGCAATCAGAGGCCACCCCAGAAGCCTCTGTTCCTCTCGGAGAGTCTGGCAAGCTACCGTGAGTATCCTGCCCCCATGGCAGAGCCTGGCGTGGCATACTCAATATGCCAGAAACAGTAACAATGACAGTTCTCATTCCTCTGACCCTCAAAGAGCCCCCAATATGCCCTCAGGCTACACTAGCACGTGACAGAAATGAATGGAGATGTTACTGGTGCCCACTTGAGCATATCGATGAACAACAGGATGACAGTGATACAGTGATCACAAATGTATGAGACACCCATCCTGAAAAGTACTGGGAAAGGTGCAATCAAGTAACTTTGTAAATAACTATATTTTACAAGACTAGACAATAAATATGGTGAACATGAAAATAGTACTCTTGATGCTGAAGAGAGCATAGTGGGTAAGGTGCTTGGATTGCATGTAGCTGACCCAGGTTTGATCCCTGGCACCATATATGGTCCATTGAGCAATGCCAGGAGTGATCCATGATAGAAGATGAAGGAGTAAGCCCTTAGCACTCTTATTGATAATGCTTCCCATGGTACTTCAGGTTAACCGCTGATACTTCTATACACACAAACTGGAAAGGAACAATTAGGTAAACATATCAGTGATGATAGGAGCCATGTTTCCACATTTCTCACTGCTATAAGTGGGAAATCATAAACAGGCAAGGGATAAAACCTACAGTGCTTCCCTTGGTAATTTGAATTGGATACATGTCTGAAGTCTTGTTTATTTCAGATGTGTGGGATAAGAGGTTAATGTATATTCCCTTCTTGTCAGTTGAGCATGCCTAAGTAGTTATACCCTAATAGACACAACTACAATGGTTAGATCTTGGTCTTAAATATCTTCCTCACAATTAGTCTCCAGGCACCATCTTAGCACACCAACACTCCTGGCCCAGAGATACAGCAACAAGTCCTGGAAGATACCACAGCACCGGACACCTCTCCGGGCCCCATACCGAGCCAATAGCACAGGGGGACCCCAGATGGAGCAGGTGCAGTCTCTCCCCTTACTCCTGATGGAATCCTGGTGACCAAGAGCTTTCACAAGCAAGGCCCAGGTATGCATGTTCAGGACTAAATCTCCAGGCCACATGGTGGCTGAGGACCGGGTCCTCTCCCGGGTCACTGTCCACCCAGTAGACTAGCTGCCAAGCCCACAATTTGCCTCCAGATGCCATCTTAGTACACCAATAGCCCTGGCCCAGAGACTCTCAACTGAATCCCAAAATGGATTAGTGCCATACAGAGATGTCTCTGGAACTCAACCATTTACAATCTAGAAATTTACATTTACAATCGTGGCCGCACAAGCTCTTGTGAATTCGAAATGAGCTATGGAAAATATATTATCTAGAGCCTGCCCCTGGTGGTAGGAAAATTCGAGCAAAAATTCATGTCCAAAATTAGAGAGAAAGACTATTAGGGAAATTGTCTGCTATAGAGGCAGGGTGAGGACTTCGATGTGTGTGTGTGTGTGTGTGTGTGTGTGTGTGTGATATTTGGGACACTGCTGGTGGAAAATGTGCATTGGTAGAGTGATGGGTGTTCCATCATTGTATGGCTGAATCTCAAACATGAAATCTTCGTAACTATCTTACGGTGATACAATAAAATAAAAAAGTAATGTGGAGTTCATACCCAATTCAAACAGCTTAATCAATGGCTGGACAAATAGCAGTACTCCTACATTATTTTTTTAAAAAAGAAAAAGCATCAGAGGAAAGGCTGGTTCTAGCACCAAGTCAGGAATTAAGTATTAGCTAGAACTGGAATGTATGGAAGTGTTCAAAGAAAGAAACCGTATGTTGATGAAGGTGTGTCAGAGAGATATAGGCACCAACTGCAAGACCCCAGATACCAAAGGAGAAGTGGTAAGAATTTAGTAACAGAATAGTGAAATGTTATAGTCCCAAACATTAAATGCTCAAGAGCACAGACATCGTTAAATATCTGAATAAGTTATTAAACTGAATATGGTAAAACGGGCTGGAGCGATAGCACAGCGGGTAGGGCGTTCGTCTTACAAGCGGCCAACATGGCCGACCCGAGTTCAATTCCTCCGCCCCTCTCGGAGAGCCCGGCAAGCTACCGAGAGTATTCGATATGCCAGACACAGTAACAACAAAGTCTCCAATGGAGACGTTACTGGGCCCGCTCGAGCAAATCGACGATCAACGGGAGGGCCTTTACCTTTATGGTAAAACAATTTTTCCGTGCATTTAATTCCAAATAATTTATGTAGAAATTATGGTCTCAAGGATATGGAACCTAAATCCTATTGCTGAGATGAGGGCTAGGCTAATACGCTCCATCCAAAATTAAGTAGAGTTGGGAAAGAAAGGAAGAGAGAAATTACTCATTGGAGAAACCAAACACTACTTAAACCTGACAATTAAGGATAATCTCAAGAGGAGAACCCATGTGGATAAGAAGACGAGTAATTTTATTTTTATGAACACAAAAACCCAGTCTAATCACAAGAAACATAAATTCTGAGTGACAATTGCCCATGCTTAACTGGCCAGTAATTTTCAAACAGTCAAGGTAATCAAGAAGGAAAGTCTGAGAACGTGTCACACCCAAGAAGACATAATGACTAAACAATATGTGAATTCTGGGAAAAAAATTAAAAACCAAAATACACACCTCCCAAAGGGGTTATGCAAAAACTAAAGAAATCTTAAATATTATAGATATTGGTTAATGATGCATCAACATTAATAACTTGTAACAAATAGATTTTGGTCTTGTAAGACATAATAAAAAGAGATGGGTGTGTGGAATATAGAGCCTCTTCAAGTTTGTTAAATCTGAAATTCTAAAACAAAGAGTTTGTCTTTTTAGCAAAGCAGAGGGAATTGTTTCAGTGTGCAGGCAAATCCTGACTTTATCCTTTCAAGGAAATGAAGTTGTGGAGTCT